CCCCAAAACCCCAAAACCCCAAAACCCCAAAACCCCTTTTAAAAGCTAATAAATTGAAAACTAAATAATTAAAACCTAAAACTGAAAATGAAATATTAGAGGAGAGACAAAGCTTAATAACTCCAGGCATTGGAACACCGTATATAGTGATGATAAGATACAAGGAAGTCTCTCTTCGTTACACTAATGATAAAGCATTGATATCATCTTGACAAACCTTTTGTTAATAATGTATAAAAATTCATGTTTCAAACCGAACTCGGGAGTTATAATAGTGATCAAAATCAAATCTAGATGAAACAAAAATTGATATCTGAAATTTTACTAATGAAGCAGAATTCTATCCAAAATATTGAAGCTAATTCAGAAAATTCGAAGAAGAGTTAGAGTAAAATTAAGGACACATTGCAAATAGCTTGTAAAAAGAACTTGTAATATTAAATCCTTCAAAGAATTGCTCCCATTCTCCCGATTAACAAATTAAGAAAGTACTTCTTAAATGATCTTTTACTGGAATAAAACAAGCTAAAATTTCAGCCCAGAACTTAAAACTGCTGAAACTAAAGTTGACATAAAGATGTTAAGCAACTTTATGGAAAATAAAATTTTAAAGGAACAACTCAGTTCTGCCTACCAACTATAGAATAAAGGGTCTGAAGGATGAAGCTTATTGAACATCTAAAATATGAAAATAATGTAAGAGCCGTTTGAAACAAATTAGAAGAAGACAAAACTTTACTAATAATTTGTGATAAGCAAATTAAATAGATTTAGTCGAAATATTCGAAGAAAGACCAATTCAATAAAAGAATGCAGAATAAGAGCAGAATATAATACAAGAGCAAGAAAACTACCTTGACTAGCAAAGGAAATCACACCTCATGGTATTTGAAAACTGAGTATGAATTATTTAAAACAAGCTGTGATAGAACAAATAGATGCAGAAATTTTTTAATAGTTCCAGATTTAAAGAACAGCAAATCAGACAAAGAAAAATCAAATGAGCCTTATATGTTAAAGCTTGGATAGAGACAGCAACAAAAGAAAGTCACAGATAAGAATGAAAGAAGAAAGATAAATAATTTTAAAGCTGAGAAAAAGATTAATTGGGAAATTTTAAAGGGAAAAAGACTTAGAAAAAAATTAATCATAAAACAAAGCAATTAAAACAAGAATAGAGCAAGAGAACTATAAGAGGATAAGAGAAAGCTGAAGAAGCAGAGTTTGAGACAAAGTAAAATTTTAAATAAACAAAGCAACATATTATAGGAGTAAAGAAAGTAAAAAGAGACTCTTATGATATATAATTGAACAGGAGAAAATATTGGATAATAATTAGTGAGATCAAAAGTTTGATAGCAATCTCCTGAAATCAATGAAGCAAAAATGTAAGAAAAGGAGTAACAGGATTGCTTAGATAAATTGACTTCTTAAAACCATCTTAACTTGTCTTCATCTATTACTCAATACTCAAAATCATTCAACGACTCCAATCCATTTCAGTCTCTAAAATAAAATACTAAATCTCCTATTTTAATAACCTTCTTGCTCCTCCACTTTACATTATTCAGTCTCAAACTAGATATCCCACTCAATTAGTGTTAGTTCTTACTCTCCTTCTTCATACAAGACCTAGTCTGCAACTCTGAAACAACTATATTGCTATTCTTCTACTCCCACTGACTTCGAGGCTCCGGTTTGAACATTAGGTATCCTGTGTTTTAATAGAAGCCTCATAAAAAAGGTGAAAGAGAAAGATGCATGCATGATCTAGCTTGACATCAAGTGGACAAGTTACCAAGACAGTAAAGATCATTAACAACAACTTTGTTAATATACTTAAAAATTTGAACCCAAAGAGTGGAGAAGAAACTAATTTAATAAACAAATGTAAAGTATTTAAGGTTTACTTGAAAATAGTCTTATTTATCTGACCAAACAATTTACAGCATATTAAAATATTCAATTTTCTGAATTGAAAAGGGGTTTTGGGGTTTTGGGGTTTTGGGG